AATTATAGCCAAGAATGAAGATTCATTTTCAGTTGCTTCCCCTACCCATCCTGCCAACAATATGGCTACTCTTTTCCTTCTCGCTCGCACACTCACCACATTCAGTGCGCAAGCAACCCTTAAAGAGAGATGTAGAATATAAATGGTACATGTACAATCTACATGTTAGATGTAAAATATACATTGTTTATGTATATGTAGATAACATATGTAGCAAAAAAATGTAAAATGTAAAATGTAACATTTTTGTTTGTTTTAATTTTCAAATTCTAAAAAATCATATGCTCAAAAATGTAAATACTGACTGAGTACGGGTATAAGTAGAGTCGCGTCTTTAGAAGCGACTCACACGTTCCTTCTCGTTTTTTAATTTCTTTGTGTATAGAGCCATAACTAGGCGTCCAGCTTATGCGTCATCGTTTGTGCTTGTACCGGCACAAAGAAATACAGTAAGCCAATTTTTCCCATTGAAATCGATGGAGAAGAGATCCAATAATATTTATAAAGCTTTTCTTGGTTTCGGCAGTGTGTTTTTCCTGAAAAAGAGAATGCTTAATCTGTAAACGAAATTCACTTTTTTTTTTTCTTCAAATCCAACAGTGCCACTGCAGTGGCTATGCATAAACTCCCGCCAAAATTGTCAAGGTTGACAAAACCGCCTGAAACTTTTTCAGCAATCAGCTAATAAAATATTCTAATCGAATAAAATATTAATGGGTGGTTAGAAATATTTTCTTTTTGTAAGGCCGCCGTCGTATAAGTAGAAAATGCTATGATGCTATGTCCGAACGAACAGCAACCAGGCCACCGCCACGCGAGATGGACGATCAGACGTATATATATTAAACTTGTCAATGAGAATCTCGGAATCATAAATAGAGGGGTTGAGCTAGCTTTGGGAATCAATTTGGTTGATTCGAAACATGCTTTTCAGATCCCAAAAATAATAAATCCGCAGGGCTCGGAAGTACTAACAGCGCGCGGCCAGTATGACGAATTGTGCCGATATGATCCTTCGCAATGCAATGAACGAGTATGGCTCGTTTATGCAGAGGCAGAGCCGGCCAAAGTCCGACAAAATGCGGTGGCCCAAGCCCCATCCGCTCAGAAGATTTTTTTTTGGCGGAGACGGTAGCGTTGTTTTCCTGGGGCTAGTTTTCTCTGTGTGGCAGGATGAACATTGTGCATTACTTCAGATACAATTATGTTTTCCATCACATTGCCAGCAATATTGTATCCGCAATTATGCCGCAGCTCTGCTCATAGCTCAACTAGAAAGCCAGCTGGACGCATATACTTCTCTCGCTCTGACTGAAATTTTGAATGGAAAGCCAAGTTCTATTCGTATGGAAACGCTAATAAATATTTCTGTTTTTTGTTCAACATACAATTTTGCAGCTCGCTTTTAGCAAACGAGTACTCAGATTCGAAAACAAAAATACCGATAGATACTAGAAAGGCAGCCGATGGTATTTTCCCATCTCGAGCGGAATATAGAATTACTCTATCTTTTCATGAAAAAAACAGATACTCACACACACACACGCAAGCAAAGGAAACAAGTAAAAAGGCGCAAGGCGGCTAATAAAATGCAACAATGAAGACAAGTTCAATATAATTAAGGCATTCGAATGAATACCAGATCTATATAGGATAAAGAATAAAAAACATGTTGATTTCATTTCTGTTCCTTAGGATCGAATTTATCCAATACTGCAGTCTTCATTGTCATCCTCCAGCTCCACAGCGCCCACAAATAAGACATTTGTTCTGGCTTTAATAAAAAAATTTGATATTTTAACAGATTTCTGTTTGTAATCGTAAAGCATACATTTTGCCCTTTTTGGTCTCACGGGGAACCAATCGAAATATTCAGCTTAGGGAATTTAGGTAAAGTACAGTTGGCTGCGCAAGTATATATTGAAGCCTCTCTACACACCGTCCTATCGATTGCTCAAGCAAATGTATTTTCTGACTATCTGCACAAAAAGTCATTGATCAACACTGATAAGTCGAACAGCTGTGTAGCTTTTTTAGAAAAAAGTGCTGATCAATAATTTGAAGAACTCCCCTCAGGTATATCAATGGTAAATATAAAATATATATGATCATATGTATCATATATGTAGGTAAGTGCACTCTGGCCGAGATTGCTATCCCTTGCGTGCCCAAGCGAGCAATTTGGCTTGTGATATTACAGATATTACAGCCGTTATTTATTCGCTAACAGATGGCGAATTTGAAGAGCTGATGGAGGACTCATCCCTGGATACGATGAGCCTCGAGCAGAGTCAAGAGGGGAGCATAGACGTCCCCATGGACTCTACACCCACGGGCCGTACTCCGCCTAAAATCAGCGACAACATATGGACAGCACCGGCTGGCGACATTGATAAATTCCTGGAGAAGCGCCGGCTGATCAAGCAGGTGCGCAATCAACGAGTCCTCTATGATAGCAAACATCCCCGATTCCGCGACTCTACATACAAGATAGTGGTGTGGAAGCGCATTTCCAAGCGCCTATCCATGGAGATGGAAGATTGCGTTGACATCTGGGCCGAACTGCGCTACGAATTCCAGTGCCATGTGCGCGCGATGTGCAACTACCGCCGGGAAATTCTCCAGCACCGTCCGCCCCGTTTCCGTCCCTTCCTGCTGCACGAGGATGACATGATGTTCATGTACCCGCATGTGGCCAGCTATCCGATGCGGCGCGATCAGATTGAAACCGAGGCCATCACCGCACCAGAGACAGCGGACGATGTGGTCCTGGTAGATACCCCATCGCCACAGTTAGTGGCCAGCAGCGCTTTGGATGGGAACACGTTCAGGATCACGCCCGATGTACGTCTCCTCATCGATGCCGTGCGCTCCTATCCCCATCTGTACGATAGAAGCCACCCCAGCTTCAACGATTACCGCCATCGCGGCGTTATCTGGGTCGGCATATCCAACGAGTTGCGGGAAATGACCACCGAGCTGATCAGGTCCTGGCTAACGCTGCAGACGCGTTACGAGTGGGAGGTGAACCAAGCGCCGCATGAGAGCTCGGAGCTAAAGGTGTTGATGATTTTCCTAAAACCGCACATGGCCCACATGAGAGACTCGGTGTACAAGTCCTCGAAGTACCTGACGACTGGGTGGCAGGCTCCCTTCGAGAAGTCGGGCAGTGTCTTAACTCTGATTGATATGCTGAAGAGCAACCCAGAGGTGGTCCAGCTAACCGATGAGTATCTGTACTTTAAGACGAAACCGCCTTTGTATTATGAACTCTGGAAGAAAGTCGCCTCCCAGGCGATGACCACACCCGAGCGCTGCGAGGTCAGCTGGCTGGTCTTGCGCTTCTTTTTCCATGAGCTCATGAAGATTCGTCTGGCCGGCTACGAGCTGCCCGACAAGTGGTTATTCGAGAACGACGTCAGCACGATCTACAGGATGGTTGTCCAGCGCACCGTAAACTGCGAGGAGCAGAAGCGGTACTTTGCCAGCACGTCCACGCAGCCGAACATGCGCTCGCCCATGGCAATCGCCGCCGTGCTAGACAGTATGCCTGAGAAAAGTCCACCAGACGAAGCACAACCTATGCAATTGGCCATTGTCCACCCGTCCGCCGCCGGAAAAGCCGGGTTTCACATTCCCACCACAACCAGTGGCTCCAGTATCAGTAGCAGTTCCGCCATTACAACCACCTTGAGCCCGAGTATCACCACCACTATAGTCACAAGCGTTATGCGTTCCGCCTGCTCCTCATCTACCAGTAGTGATTCTTTGGTGATGACAAATATCACGAGTACCTTGGGTATGCCCACGTCGTCAGGCCCCACGCCCAACGCCTTGAAGATGAGTACAAAGGCGGCAGTACCTGCCATTTTCGACAGCAATCAGTCGACAGTCGCAAAAGTTTTTTCTGATCGTAGCAGTAAAGCACCCGGACATGCCATTAGACCCAATGCCACGATGGCAGCACCACCAGTTTTAATGGATCGTCCTTTCGATATCCGCGCAATATATCCCAAAAAGCAAGGTGATGTTCCCGTTCCCAGTGTCATTAAAGCAACGACGAACAATGCCAGAAGTACAGCAAAGACAACGACATCGATTACTCTTGCCAGTGCAGCAACAGAAGTAACAAAGGTGTTTGCAAGTGGTTCATTGAAGAGACCGAGCGCCGTTAACGGCAGCATTGATTGCAGCAGCAGCAAGTCGCCAAAAATACAAACCCCCAGCGAAATGGACACTCAATCCGCATCTCAATCGTATGATATCAAAGTGGAATTTGTGCAGAGTAAGGACGCTGAATATTCAATCCATATTTATGGCGGCGCCCTGTCCGTCGACTACCATTTGAACATGTTGCTTGTGGAGAAGTTGATCCAGGAGGTGATGGCCATACCGATCCTCCACAACAGTCATTCGAAGCTAGCGAAGAGAAAATCGGAGTTATGGGGAAAATTTTCCAAACAATTTCACATGCCAGGTGATGAATGAAAAAAACCTTAAGGCCCCAAATGCAAACCATGTATTAACACTTTTCATTTGTCGTGTGCAGCTGA